CTCTCTCTGCCAAAAAAAAAAAAAAAAAACACAAAACCTTTAGAAGAGTGCCTTATATGTTATGTGACTTTTATATCAATAAAGCTATTAAAAACAAAAACAAAACCAAAACACCCCAAAACCAAACCAAACCAAAATCCTCCAGTGGTATCTGGCCGCAGAAGAACAAAATCCAAACTACTAAAGAGGAATTAGCCCCTGCCTACCTCAGTGACCTAGGCCAGTCCTCAAATACTTCCTTTCATCCATTCTTGCCTTCTTTCTGTTCCTCACTTGGAGCTTGCTCCTGACTCACCAGGACTGTCCTTCCCCTAGCTTCACACAGCCATCTCCCGCTTATTGTTTAGAGTTCACAGAAAAGTCACCTCCTCAGAGAGGCCCTCCCAGATCCCCTCTGGTGAAGTAGCCCCAGGTCACCCTCTGTCGTAGCCTGTTTTAACTTTCTGCACAGCATCAACTCTCCGATGGTGTTTGTGTTATTATTTATTTATTTGCCTGTCATCTATCTCCCCACCAGACGGCAAGTCCCATGATCGTGGGGACCTGGTCTGGTTTTCCTTCTGTGTCCCAATGCCTAATGCAGGGTAGACGCTTAGACAGTGTTTGTGAGGTGAGATGGAACTCAGGGCTCATTGTCCCCAGCTCAAACTCAAGGATCCTGCACACTAGCCTCACCTCCAGGATATCAATGCTCTCCTTCACTCGGATCTTGGCCGACTTGAGCTTCTCGCGAAGTTGTTTGTAGTACGTTGGTGGAACAGCCAAGAACTCCATGCCTCTCTCTCTCAAGTGGCGAATCTGTCTCAAGGAAGGGTCAAGGTCAGTCTCCTCCTCTCTCCGTGCTCAACACCCCTAGCCAGGAGGAGGCAGAGTCCCTATCCTAGTTTCCCCTGCCTTCCAGGATGCATCCCCGTGACCTCATGCCCCTCCACCCTTGGCCTTGTGGGCGCCATTAGAAAAATAGCCATGGTTAACGTTTACCGAGTTCTCGTCACGTGCCTGCCTCCTAAGCACTTAACGTGTATTGCTTCATTATGTCCATGCAGTCACTTTTTGAGGTATCTGGACAATTATTATCCCCATTTCATAGCTGGGGAAACTGAGGCATCAAGAGATTAAATATCTGTTCTCAACATAGTAGCCAGAGTGATTTTATTGAAAAACACAAATCAGGGGCGCCTGGGTGGCTCAGTCGTTAAGCGTCTGCCTTTGGCTCGGGTCATGGCCCCAGGGTCCTGGGATCGAGCCCCGCATCGGGTTCCCTGCTCTGCGGGAGGCCTGCTTCTCCCTCTCCCACTCCCCCTGCTTGTGTTCCCTCTCTCATGCTATCCCTGTCAAATAAATAAATAAAATCTTTAAAAAAAATAAAAAATAAAAATAAAAAAATAAAAACACAAATCAAATCACGCCACTCCTCTGCTTACCCCACAGTGGTGTCTTGTCTCGGGGTCACATTCAAAGCCCTTACCATCTGTCCTCACTCCCACCTTCTGACCTCACCTCCTACCCCCTCGTCCTTGCTCATTCTGTTCCAGCCACACTGAGCTCCTTGCTGTGCCTCCAGCCTTCCTCTGCCCTGCCTGTCGCTTCTGCTCGGCGCACGTTTCCCAGTTGTCCACATGCCTCCCTCCTTCCAACTCTGTGTTCTCCGATGTCTCCTTCTCAATGTGGCCTTTCGCGGCTGCCCTGTTTAAATGTGCGATGTCCTTCGCTCTCCCTCTCCCATTGCCCTGCTTGGTTTTCCTCCAGAGCACTCACACCATCTAACACACGTCTCTTCCTTGTTTTGTTTTCTGCCTTCACTGGAGCAGAGACTATTGTCTCTGTCAGCTCATGTATCCCAAGTACCTAAAAGGGTGCCCAATGCACATGGTAGGTGCCCAGTATACATCCGAGTGGGTGAATGAATGGGTGAAATTGCCAAGGTCGTGCAGTGAATTCTTGGTTAGGCCGGGATGGAATGGGCCAGCCAGGCTCGCGTCCACTCTGATACACTGCTGCCTTAGGAATAGGCTGGTTCCACAGACTCAGTGCATTTAACTTGACTCAAAGGACCTAGTCAATCTTGTAGCCTAATAGCCTCATTTTCAAGGTGAGGCAACTGAAGCCCAGAGAGGGGGCTGAATGCCCCAGGGACACAGAGCAAGTCACTTGCAGAACTAGGACTAGAATCCAGGCTGCCTCTTACTCTGACACCTGCTACTTTTAAAGCCAGCAGTGTTTCTCTCTGCAGGGAAAGGGAGCTCTGGGGTGGGAATGTGCCTGCACTTGACAGGCAGGAACCAGTAAGAGAGCCCTGTCAGCCATCTGGGCCGGCGAAGGGGGCCGAGGATTGCCACTACCCGCCCCCCACTCCCTCCTCCATTTTGGCTCTGGAGCTAGATGAAAGGTGAATTAGGACCAGGAATGAGCTTCTCACCGCTGTGATGATGTCTTGGGTCTTGAGAGCAATGTGCTGGACCCCAGCGCCCCCATTATAGTCCACATATTCCTGGGGGAGGGAAACAAGGCAAACACAGTCGTTGGCTCCTGTCACCCATATTCCTGCCTCCTGAGGAGGCTTCAAAGCTCTTCCCTGCTTTCTTCTTCCCCAGCCAGGCCCCTGGAGTCCAGGGAAGGCCCCACCTGGATCTGAGATTTCTTCTTCCCTGGCGCTGGCTCATTAATGGGCATCTTGATGGACTCCTCGAAATTGGCCACCACGATGGAGCGTAGGGAACTGTATTCTGTGTGCACCTGTGTGTCATCCACAGACCAGAACCGGTGAAACTGCAGATTCTTCAGGTACCTGTGGGGTGGCCATAAGGGCACGTTGGCTCTGTGTGCCTGCCAGGGACTGGCTCCTTGCCCCTACTTCCACCTTCCAGAATTTGTCCCCTGAGCAGCCTCCAGAGAGGAACCACCATTCACCTCATACCCACTGAACACCTGTACCTTGATTCTGACAATTTTCCTTTGGGTGGACGTGAAACGTCTTGTAACAAGATCTGTGTGGTGTGGCAAGGGTCCGACTGAGAGAAGTGCCCTTTGAGAAGGGCACCTGCTTCTCATTTGCACAAGGGTGCTGTTTGGGGTAGCGACAGACTTCCTCCAGGTCTCCCTGGACTAAGACGCCCTCTGTGCCAACCTTCCCCGAGGGTCCTCAGAGGGAGGACCCATGGGTCCCTTTGAGCCTTAAAGCCTCTGGCCCTTAGGGAACAGATGACTCAGGGGCATCAAGCTAAGCTCCCTTGCCCTTGTGCTCCATTTCCCAGTCCGGTGTCTCGAGAAAAGAACTGGGGAGTGGACCTGTCTCCTTTGCAGTGAGGGGTTGGGCCAGGGACTCACCACTCGGAGGCAGACACCATCTCCTGATCAGGCTGGTTTCCCACAATGTGGTCGATAATCTCGAGACTGCAGGTAGGCCTTTTGGGGGAGGAAGCCGTCAGGAGGTGAGGAGAGGGCTACTTCCTAAACCTCCCCCCACCCCGCCACAGTGGCGGCTCACTGTGACGTAGCATGTACTAGAGCCACCTTGCTGGTGTCGACTCGCACGCTATTACTAGTCCCATTTTACAGATGGGGAACTGAGGCAGAGAGGAATAAAGTAAATACGGAGATTAAATAGCTAGAAAATGACACAGCCATAGGGCGCCTGGGGAGCTCAGTCGGTTAAGCGTCTGCTTTCGGCTCAGGTCATGATCCCAGGGTCCTGGGGTCGAGCCCCGCGTCGGGCTCCCTGCTCCGTGGGGAGTCTTCTTCTCCCCCTCCCTCTGCCTCTCCCTCTGGCTCATGCTTTCTCTCTCTCTGTCTCTCAAATAAATAAAATATTTAAAAAAAAATGACAGAACCGGGGTTTGAGCCCAGGCAGTTGGTTCCAGAGCCTAGATGCTTAACCTCTGTGTTGCCTCTTCAAGCCACCCCTTAGTGACCCTCAGGAGTCCCCCAACAGCCTCCCAGATGCTCTGCCCCTCAGAGAAGCCCAGTCTGTATGGAGGATCAGGGCATTGCTTTCCACCACCCTCAGGACTTTCTATACCCCCCCAGCCCGAGGGGCACTCACAGCTTGGAAAGTAGGGGGTCCACAGATGCTGGGGTCTCGAATCCAGGCAAGAACCAGCCACTATAGTTCATCTTTTCCACCAGGGTGTGTGTGGTGTCCCCATACTATGGGTGGAAAACAGCCAGGCTTGGCCCCTGAGGTCCCATCCCCGCCAAGACTGGGCCACATCTTCTGGTGCCCACACGGTTCCACCCTGGGTCTGACCCTAACTCTGTCTGTGATCTTGGGCAAGTCACTTCCCCTCTCTGAAATGAATTGCAGTCTGTCATTTGTTTGGGGCTTTCTTTGACTGCCTGCCCCATGGGACCAGAATCTCTGTGAGCGCAGGGACACTGTTTTGCTCATCAGGGGATCCTCAGCATCTAGGACAGTGCCTGGCTCATTGTAGGTACTCAATACAAATGTATTGACTAAGTGAGAATGATGAGGGCATTGGCTCAAATTATATCAAAGGGTTCTGGGGCGCCTGGCTGGCTCCACCGGTCTCGGGAGTGTGAGTCTCTTGATCTCGGCATTGTGAGTTCAAGCCCCACGTTGGGTGTAGAGATTACTTAATAATAAAATCTTAAGGGGGCGCTTGGGTGGCTCAGTTGGTTAAGAAACTGGCTCTTGATTTCGGTTCAGGTCACGATCTCAGGGTCGTGGGATCAAGCCCCGTGTTGGGCTCCCTGCACAGCGCAGAGTCTGCTTGAGATTCTCTCTCTGCCTCTCCCCACTCTCAATAAATAAATAAATAAAATCTTTAAAAAATAAAATAAGATCTTATTTATTTATTTTTAAAGATTTTATTTATTTACTTGACAGAGAGAGACACAGCGAGAGAGGGAACACAAGCAGGGGGAGTGGGGGAGGGAGAAGCAGGCTCCCCGTGGAGCAGGGAGCCCAGTGGGGCTCGATCCCAGGACCCTGGGACCATGACCTGAGCCGAAGGCAGACGCTTAACAACTGAGCCACCCAGGTGCCCCAAGATCTTTTTTAAAAAAAGGTTTTGTTGTTTTTTTTCAATCATGTTAACAATCTTTAAGTTGTATTTAACCTTGAGGAGGTGGGACCTGTGATCATCTCTGTATGACAGTAACCCAGACTTGGGAATCTTTGCTGGGTGTCTGTGATGTACCAGGGACTGTTGTCCTAAATGCTGTGCGGGAATGACCTCACTTGAGCCTTGCAGTGACCCTGGATGGGGTTATAGTTGAAGAAACGGCTAAGTAGCATGTCCCAGGCCACACAGGTGGTCCAGCTGTGGTCCTTGCTCACTGAAACAGAGTCCCAGAGAGGTGGAGTGCTTTGCCCATAGTCTTCCCCAGACCCCACTCGCCCCCTTCTTCAAAGCCCTTGTCCTCAGCTTACATCCCTGTGCTGTCATTACCACCTGCCCCCCACACTGTCTCCGTCCACAGGGGAGGAAGGGAAGCGTCAAGGGGGAACTGGTAGCTCCCATCAGCCTCTGCACACTGGCCAAGCATTACAGGCAGTGAGACTTAGAGGAGAATGTCTGCTTCGAGGCACCAGGGTGCGATGGCATGAGGGAGTGGGGGTGGGGATGGGGCTGGGGGACCCTGGCATCTCAGGGGAGCTGACAGCAGGAGGGGTGGGGGCCCCGAAGCGAACTCACTGTCTGCAGCACGGCCAATTTCACCTTCCCAAACTTATCTTGCTCTATCCAGGGCTCCCGCACGATTTTGGCGCCCTGTTCCCGGGCTTTCTGCAGAGAAGATGGGTCAGGGAGGCAGTAAGTGCCGGACCCTCCCGGAGCCCTGGCTGGCTGCCCCATAGTCCTGCCTCATCCTGCCACAGGCTCATCCTGCTTTCCCAGACCCAGGCAGGAACGACAGCCAGCTTCAGCTGTTGCCCCTGACACCCGTGCCTTGTGCCTGTTTGGCAGATAGGGAAACTGAGGCTCAGGCCCAGAGTTGGAGCGATGAGAGACAAACCAGGTCGGGGTGGGGGTGGGGGTGTGTCCCACCTCTGCTAACTCACTCTGGCCCTTCCCCCCTCCAGTCCTCAACTTCCCCATCTGTAAACCAGGCCGTGGGATAAGAAGAACCCCTCCCACTGACTGAGCACCTGCTGTGTGTCAGACCCTCTGCAGGGTGCCTTCCAAGCATGGCTCATGCCTTTACGTAATGAAACCTTACTGCTTGGCTACGCCTACCACATTGTCAGGCATTGGTGAAGGTATTTACCAAACTCCTTCTTCCTCACAGCAACATTACAGGAAAGGTACTGTTCTTGTCTCCATTCTATAGGTGATGAGATCTATAGGCACAGAGAAGTTAAGTCACTTGCCCCAAGTCTCACAGATAATAAGATTCAGACCTGGGCAGTGGGCCTCTGGCTTCTATGCTCTGAACCTCTAAGCTGCTTCTTGAATATGGTGTTTGGTTCAGAGTCGTGCTCAAGAAGTGGTAATTATGGTCTCAGGTCCTCTGTTGTCCAACTCAGCGAGGTAGGTGCTGTGGTTGTCCCTGTTTTACAGATGTGGAAACTGAGGCTCAGTGAGAGGGCATGCAGCCAGCAAGGGCCAGGGCATCCCTGGAACTCGGGTGTGCATCACACCGGTGTCTGGGCTTGCCACTCCAACATGGCGGGTCCTCCAGCCCTGACCCACAGGGCTCCCCGTGGCAGGCAGAGGGCAGCCCAGGTGCGGGCTCACCTGCACGATGTAGTCACAGTCTTCCACCTCAAAAGCGATGTCCTTCACTCCGTCACCATGTTTTACCAGGTGGTCACCCATCTCTGTGGCCGGTAGGGGAGGTCATGGCGCTGGAGTCAGGGCTCCCTCACCTCTCTGTCAGCCTCTGGGCTCCATCTTCTTCTAGGCTGGGGAACCCTCGCTGAACCAGACCCACCCCCTTGTCCCTGAGCCCAACCACAACCCACAATAGCATGTCTTCACTTCCTGGCACCCTGAACCCCCTGGGCCTCCTCACCTTTGTTCCAGGGGTTGAGGGCAGAGGAGAAGACGAACACAATCTGAGGCAAAGAGGAGAGAGAGGAAGTGTAGCTGGCGGCTCCGGCCGGCATGTGGGGGTGCACCCCATCCCGTCCTCCCCGCCCACCTGTGAGACACCCCGGTGGGGCATTCGGATCAGATTGCCCCTCCCAGCCAGGAAGGACTCCTTGACCCTGGGTTCCAGCCCCTTCTCTGCCTCGGCTTCCCCTCTGAGATGAGCTGTTGCTCAGGCCCCCGCCATGGGAGAGAGCCCCAGGATTCCCAGGGATCAGGGCGCTAGTCAGACTTTCAGCTTTGATGTCTGAGGCCTCTGTCAACTTCTCCCAAACATCCGTGAGGCCAGAGGTGGGCCAGGCCGAGAAGGAGATGAAACTAAGGTCCCTGTGGTCTGTTGTACAAAGGTGCCAAAGGAGGGGCCAGTGGGGGTCTCAGCTCATGCTCCCTTAGCCTCGCCAGACATCCTGGGAGAGAACCAGGTGGGCCTGGGGAAAGGGCCTCCTGGTCTACTTCACCCACAGGCACCAGAGCCCTTCGGAGGCTCAGAGACCAGCAAGGGCAGAGAGGCTGGCCTGGGTGAGTGGGGTCCTGGGGTGCAGACTTACCTTGCCTTGCTTGATCACATGGCTGACTACCTCCCGGGAACCCGTCTCCAGGCCTTTGTAGGCTAGTGGTTCAAAGCCCATCTTGTTGCAGTAGAATGACGCAGCCTGAATCACAGAGTTGCAGCTGGGTTCCTGAGGGCCAGCCTGGGGGACCCCCCCACCAGCCCCGGCTGAAGCCTCCAGTCCCCGTCGGCCTGGCTGCCCTGTTGCCCCAGGGACAGAGTCCGTCCTGGGAAGGAAGGCGGCCCCCTGGCCCATTCCGACATCAGATAGGTTTCCTGCTGGGGTCCGAGACCCTGATTGTGTAATTAGGATCTAAAGAGCGTCTGTATTTCTGGGATGGTCCCAACGCTGGCTCTGATCCTCCCCACACAGCGGCCAATCATAGGCCCAGCCAGGGACCCGCCCTTGTCCAGGAGGCCCTCTGGCCCGCCCTCTGCCCACTCTAATATCTGGCCCCAGCATTTACCTGCTTGGCGTTGCCAACCCAGAAGGTCACGGAGTGGAAATGAAGGAATCGGCCTCTCTCAGGCTGCAGGAGGAGAGAAGGGGAGAGGCTAAGTCTCTGGAAGTGGGTCTAGGAAAGTGTGGATGGAGAGGTGTCCCCTAACCACTCTCCTTGTCCCAGCCTTAATTCCAAAACTGAGAAGCCAAACACCCTGCAGCCTTGCCAAGCCTCAAAAGAGGTTTCCAATGGAGAAATCAAGCTCCTGGATGTTGGGGGTCGGAAAGCCCCCTTGGGAGGCCTGCCCAGATTTCAGAGTGGAACTGCTCTCTGCTACAGCAACATGGATTTAAGTTAGACCTTAAAAAGAACTTCCAGGGTCACCTGGCCAGCTCCGTCAGTAGAGCATGCGACTCTTGATCTCGAGGTTGTGAGTTTGAGCCCCACAGTGTGGGTAGAGATTACACATAAAAAAAAACAAACAAACAAACCTAGGGGCGCCTGGGTGGCTCAGTTGGTTAAGCAACTGCCTTCGGCTCAGGTCATGATCCTGGAGTCACAGGATCGAGTCCCGTATCAGGCTCCCTGCTCAGCAGGGAGTCTGCTTCTCCCTCTGACCTTCCCCCCTCTCATGTGCTCTCTCTCTCTCTCATTCTCTCTCTCAAATAAAAAAAAAAAAAAATCTAAAAAAAAATCTAGAAAGAACTAGACAGGATTAAGAGATTAGCAGGAATTTAAGAAGAGGTAAAGTTTTTCTTTGGAGAGATGAGCCTGAGTGTGCATCTTGGACATCACATACCCCCTGAAGTTCCTTTTCTGCTCTTTGCTGACATCCCAGTCTCCTGGGGCCCTGACCCCACATTTCGCCTCCTACTTACCTTCCTTCCTTTATCGCTGTAAGTCGTCTAAGGAGAAAGAAAAGGACAGTAAGACTTGGAAGCTCAGACACAAGGCGCTTCTGGAAGTCTCACTGCAGATCATCACTGGGGAGGCTGCCCTGACCCCCGGGGCAGGCACTTACCATGGTTGATCTTGGTCAAACTTCCTGCTCTGAGACTGCGACAAGAGGCCAGTGGAGTGCTGGACAGAAGTATTTAACAATGAGCAGATCCCGCCCCTGGCCTCCTGGCCTTCCTAGGGGCGGGCAGAAGCTGATCCAACCGTGGAAGCTCCTAGGCTTGGGACCCTCTGATCCGGCTGCAGCCTCAGTGGACAGGGTGATATTGTCAGGCCCAGAGAAGGGGAGTGACTACCCAAGGCCACTAGTCAGTGGGGCAGAGCCAAGGCACAGAGCCAAGGGCACACTCCAGGACCCCGGGTTGGGACTATGATCTCTGCCCTCCAGAATCCAAAGTTCAGAAGTCAAGGCCAGACTGAGTGCAGTGGTGGCTGCAGAATTCTTGTTTAGGGAGAATTTGACGGGGAATTAGGGACTGGTCCTGAAGCCCTGTTTGCATAGCGAGCATGTGGTTTATAATTAGGTAAAAGGGTTGTACTTGAGGGCCAGCCTGGGGGACCCCAGGCATGGGTTAGAGGCATGGGTATGGGGGTTTGAATCCTGGACCTGCTACAACTGGGGAGAGTCACGGAGAGTCCCAGAATCCCTCTGAGCCTCAGGCTCAGAGGGGTTGTAAAATGTGTAAAATGGAAGCAATAATAGTATGGTTGGGATTAAGTGAGATGAAGCATGTCTTTGGAGTAGAGCACAGCACACAGGAATTCTCTGTTAATGTTGGTTATGATTACTTATGTCTCTTTAGGGCTTTGGGCAACTGATGGAAAGCAGGGGGCTTTGGGGTTGCCGCAGCCTGAGTAATGGGAAAGAGGTTATGGCCCTGCCCCCTGCCCCGGGTTCTCGGTATCTGCAGGGTGGCGGGAAGGGAGAGCACGTGGCTCTGGGGGGAATGCCAGGGCTCTCCCAGCAACCCCATACCTGAGTGCTCAGGTCTCGCATCCCTAAAAGATGGAATGGTGACTGACTGCTGGCCAGCCATGGCATTCACCTGAGGGCTCCAGGACAACCCCCTGCCGCTTGCTTCACCCTGGCCCCCCCGGATCTCTGATGCTGAGCCATCTTGCCCTCTTTCAACTGTCTTCATTGCCTGGAAACTTCTTCCAGTCTCTGATGCTCACAGTCCTGACCCATGACTGTGTTATGACCCCCTGCCCTCTTGCATCACTTGGGTTCCTAAAACGTCCTGCACCAGCCTTTTTTTTTTTTTTTTTTTTTAAATACGGAAAAACAGATCAGCATGTCTAGTAATGACTTCCAGGATCGTTCGGTTCAACATTACCATATTTCAGATGAGAAAAGTAACAAGCAGCAAGGAAGTGCCTGAAGCCACTGTCTCCTTTCCTTCTTTCTTCCTTCCCATGACTTTCCCTCCCACCAGGGAGCAGAGAGGGACTTGTCTGGGAGGAGCCTCCCCCCTTCCCGCCTTCCTCAGCAAACCCTGCCAGGCCCCCTCTTCCCCCCAGGGGGCCCAGTCGGCGCTCCCCAGCCCCAGGTTTGAGGTTCAGCTAAGCTCTGCCATGGGGCAGCTTTAGCCAGCAGCCCTGGAGGTGGGGGGCCCAGGACGGTTCGAGAACTTTCCCAGGCCACACAGTTAGCAAGAGGCATAGTAGGGCTGGAATGCGAATTGGGTTATTCTGACTCCAAGACCACCTTTCTAATTGCTGCACTGCCTTCTATACACATCAGAGATGTTGATATTCCCACCGGACGGATGGGGAAACTAAAGCCCCGGAGCTGGGAGGAAGAGAAACCCAAACCCTGGCCTATTTGCTTCTGAACTTGGATCTCAGTCCACCAGTCCAGACAACTTCTCCCAGCTTCTCTCTTCTGTTTCCTGGGCAAGTCTGGAGGCTGGCCAGGTAGTCCCACCTCCTTATTCTGCCCCTCCTGGGGTTGCATTGCCAGCCTGCCCTCGGTGTCCACCTCCGCCCCCTGGGTCTAGGTTTCCAATTGAGAAAACGGGCATAGAGGTAGCCCAGAATGGAGCTCACAGGCCAGAAGGTTCCACCAGGGGAGAAGGGCTCGGTGCAGGCCTCTCAGCCTCCCAGGTGAGAAGGAACACCCTGTTCCCTTGTTCACAGTAGTCAACTCGAACCCCCACTCCTGGAGCCTGGCCTGGCTGGTGTCCTAGGCACAGAGTCAATGTTTACCAAATCAAGGGAGCAGGTTATCGGCAGCCTCAGAGTGCTGAAGGCAAGTGTCTGGCTCAGCTGGCCAGGGCTGGTGGTTCTGTCCTACCCTCTGGACTTTGCTTCCAGGAACACTGCAGATCTCAGTCACACTCTGGATACACTCCTGCGTGCTTCCTCCAGCAGCAGGCCGAAACGGGGGAGGGAGAACCCACAGGGCCCCGTCTCTGGAGCCCCCGTGTTCCCTCCTAGATTCTCCTTCTCTGGCTGGGCTGGGTAGGATAACATGTCAGCAGTGGCTGAGTATGGCCGTCTCTGCTCTTTGCTCCCGAGTTGCCACCTTCTGTCCAACCTGAGCTGGGAGCTGGGTTCTAGAGACCATGCTCATGGCACCCTCTCTTCAGATGGGCCCTTAAGACTCCTCCTCCACTGCGCCCTGGTGTGCAGAAAGGAGTGAACACAGCAGGCTTGAGGGTGCTGTTCATAGAAAGGCCAGCTTGCAAGGTTGAGCCTTGGCGGGCACTGAGAAACTCGGATTTCAGGAAGGTCCCCACCGTCCCCAGAAATGACAGGAGTGGTTCCTTGTGTGTAAACTATTTGTACAAGGCATGTGCTTTATGTTGAACATGTGCTTTCCTTCTGGGAGTCTGGGATTTGGATACGTGCTGTGCAACACTTGCATACGGGACCGGCACCCAGTAAAAACCCGGGTGCCTGAGGCTCAGGCAAGGTTCCTGTGTAGACGACATTCCGCAACCCCTTGCTGGAGGAAATTAGCGTATCCTATGTGATTCCCCACCCCCGCCCCGACCTCCCCAGGAGAAGACCCTTGGCATCTTGTAGGCACCATGTGCCTTTTCCCTGGGCTGATTTTGCTCTGTGTCCTTTAGCCGTAATACGTCTTAGGTGTGAGTATGACCATATTCTGGGTCCCAGGAGTCTTCCTAGCACATTAACAAACCCGTGGGTGGGCTTGGGAACCCCTAACACCGTGCTGGCAGCAATAGGATTCGCTCGATGGATCCTGACTCACTGAAATACGGTACAGGCATTGTCTGGGGGAAAGGAAGCATGAAGGGAAAGGGACATCCTTTCAAAGACATGCATATGAGATTCCTAGCTGTATAAGCACTGGCTATCTTCTTACTCTGTGACCATGACCAAGGTGGCCCAGGCCCTCAGCTCCTTTCTGAAGCCCTTACTGAGTATTCGGTACCTGCCCAGGGGCCATGGCTGGGGTGGGAGGGCCTGCATGGCTTCCCGGAGTGGTCAGCCAACCTTTGGTGCCTGGGTGGCTGTGCCGTTCCCCGTGAGCCGCCAACTGCAGCTGTTGTGAGAAGTAAAAATGACCTCTGGGACTCGACACTCAGTAGATGGTACCCCACGAGAGTTGAGCTGGATCCCTCGGCCTCTTTTGGCTTCACTGGCTAAAATGCGGCGGGGGGTGGGCCGCACCTGGGTGGCGCAGCGGCAGTCAGTTGAGCGTCTGACTCTAGGTTTCAGCTCAGGTCATGCTCTCGGGGTTGTGAGATCTCGTGGGGCTCTGTGCTCAGCAGGGAATCTCCTTGAGATTCTCCCTCTCCCTCTGCCGCTCCCCCGCTCATGTTCTCTCTCTCTCAAATAAATAAATAAATCTTTAAAAAATAATAAAAAATAAAACAATGGGGGGATGCCTTTGGTTTTTGTTCTCAAGGCAGGAGGAGAAAGAGCCCAAACATTTCCAATGGTGGGCTTTGGTTGGACACCAACTGTTGGAAGTTTGTATTATTCTCTCCTCCAAATGGGAGGGAAAACGTTAAATCAGTTCTCAGAGAGGGGGCAAAGCTTTAGACAGATCAGAGGAGAAAGAAAATGTGTGTTGGGGGGGTGTTCCACAGCTGCTGCCGCCCCACCTCCACCCCATAAATGCCGAATTCACTGCTAGGAGTTTAAGTAAATTTTCAATGAAATTAAAGGAGAAGCAATTATTTATTTATTTATTTATATTTTTTAAAGATTTTATTTATTTATCTGACAGAGAGAGACATAGCGAGAGAGGGAACACAAGCAGGGGGCGTGGGAGAGGGAAAAGCAGGCTTCCCACCGAGCAGGGAGCCCGAGGCGGGGCTCGATCCCAGGACCCCGGGGATCATGACCTGAGCCGAAGGCAGACGCTTTAACGACTGAGCCACCCAGGCGCCCTGGAGAAGGAATTTTTTAAATGCCTTTGTATTTCATAGCTATTATATTTGGATGTATGGTTAAAATTGATGTAAAATGTCATATGCCTATAATTTCATAAGTGCCAGAGGGATCGTCCCAATTAGAGAAAAGTCGCCAAAAAAAAAAAAGAAAGAAAAAGTCACTGGGATGTAACTTTCTTGCATTTTGCCATGTGGGCGGCTTGGAATTTGAAATCTTTTGAGTATGGAAAACAGAACAGGGCACCTGGGTGGCTCAGTTGGTTAAGCAACTGCCTTCGGCTCAGGTCATGATCCTGGAGTCCTGGGATCGAGTCCCACATCAGGCTCCCTGCTCGGCGAGGGGCCTGCTTCTCCCTCTGACCCTCCCCACACTCGTGTACTCTTTCTCTCATTCTCACAAAATAAATAAATAAATCTTAAAAAAAAAAAAAAACAGAACAATCTTCTGTAACAAATGACTCTTACTATGATTTTTGCCTTTTGGAGCTTCTGGGGTGGGGGGAAGACAACTGAAGAAGAGAAGCAATCTCTAAATGGAGATACACTTTTACGGCTTGAAAAAGCAGTTTTTTTAGTTGCTAATGAGCTCTTGTGAAATTGCCTGTCTGACCATTGGAGGCATATTTTTGAGGACATCCACTTGGGCTCTAAGACCAACAGGACAGAAAGGGTTAGGGAAGCTGTCTCGCTTGGCTGCAGCAGAAGAAAAGCCAGTGCCTCCCCCTCCCCTCAGCTTTAGTGAGGGGTAACTGACAAATAAAAATAG